AAAAGAGCAGCATGTTGTTCAACTCAGTTCATATCTTTTTTTTTCTGCTTTAAAAATAATAATACAATTTAGATTTAATAACATAGACACTAAAATGTTTTGGGAGTTTCTTTTCCCAGTAATTTAGTTCACCCTTATTATTTTTTTTTTGAGAGAGATTTTTGTTATAGTGATTTTTCCTATAATTTTGCTATGTGCTAGCCAGAGAGACAGAGAGAGACAGAAAGTGAGAAATGACGCCAACTTCCCAGGCAGGAGGGTCACGCCACCATCCCTTCCTCCTGGGATTTTGGGCAGTCATGCACACATGTCCTGATGCTTTTTTTTTTTTTTTTTTTTTTTTTTTGCTATAGGGCACGTGTATTCGCCAGAAAGACAGAAAGTGAGAAATCACCTCCCAGGGGGGATAGCCACACCACAATCCCTTCTCCTCCATTCTCCTCTTGAGATTTTGGGCATACATGCACATGTACCCAACGTGAGTTTAAGCCACCAGGGTCCGGGACTCAAACCATGGTCAACTACATAGGAGTTCAGCGACATAGCCATTACACCAAGTGCTAGTCCCCCGCGTGAGTCTTAAGCCAATGGATCCAGGACTTAAAACTGGTTGGCTGTGTGGGAATCCAGTACCTTAACCACTACACCATTCATTGGCCCCAACACATTTACTATTTTTAAAAGAGATTGCTTTTTTCTATATTTTCTATGTTTTCTTTCATGTTTTTCTTACCCTGTCATTTTTTTTTAAATTTTTGTTTGTTTATTTGTTTGTTTTCACACAGCTATGATAGTTTTTTTTTTTTTTTTGATCTCTGTTTAGGGTTTTCCGTCCTTATCCAATCTTAAAAACACCTAATGTACACTTAAAGTGTATATAAATCTAAGATATATTCAAATACAGATGAGAATGTGTCAGTATCTAATCAGACTACAAAGACTTATCTTTTGTAAGTAGAATGCAGCATTTAGAAAGCTGGCAGTGTATGTACATACAGCTAAATAATTAAACAACTAAAAAACTACATAATTAAAACTACCAAATGAGTGGATTTTCTACAAGAATATGCAACATTAAAATAATGATTGTGTAAGACCAAAAGCCAATAAAGTAAGATTTCATTTCATTATGTGACTTCTATCTCATTCTGGAAACAAAGTGTGTGAAGGTAATCATAGATAAGCTTCCTCTAGAGAAATATTTAAAAGATAACCTACAGAAATAAATGCTTGGGCTTTTTGATGATTTTCAGAACCCAGAATCCATATTCCCAAAGTTCCTTGTTTAGTCAGTCCATTGGTATCCCTAGTGCACCTTTGATTGGTATCCCTAGTACACCTTTGTTTACAGAAACAGAAGAGAAAACTGTCCTTATGATACCTCTTTGGTTTGTCTTTGCTTCTCTGGGCTGGTTGAACAGCACTCCTTTTTCTGTGTGGTCTGTGTTGGCTTTGTTGAACATTTCCTTGGCATCTTTACTTTGGATAATTCAAAACTGCAGTTGCTTGGCTTTCGTAATTGCTGAAACCCATGGAAAAGCAGGTGGCATGCTACCTTGTTAAATGTCCCTATTGTAGACTGGGAAAAACGATATAGAAATTTGAGTTGTATTGCAATTTTCAAAGAAAAAAATCTATTTACTTTCTGTTCCTATGTTCATCTTGGAGGTTAGACCTCAAGGGGAAGGGACCAACATCTGGACCACAGTGTGGACCTTTGCTCCCATTAAGACATCCCAGGGCCACAATATGGTCCAACACCTCTCAACTATTCTCTTTGCAGAATCTGTCACATGATATTTTTAGCTGTTGTTTTGGCAAAAGCAGTGGAAAACGTGAAGATGAGAATACACACTGGGCTCTCTTTAAAAAGAACTTATAATAGGTGTTAGATGGTTGTTGTTACTGAGATGAGCCTATTGTATCGTCAGAAAAGCATCTCCTACATGAATAAACACTTGGAACCATTGGAGAGCCAGAACGGAAAGTTATTTACACAGTCATGTGCTCATTTACACAGCTGGAGTGTGTGTGCAGAACTGCTGAAATTATATCTTGCTCTGGGGAGAAGCATTTTAAAAAGTTGTCAAAAGCATTCATCATTTGTGGCCCATTGTTCAATATTTGATTCAGGGATACCACATCTTTCTTTACGTGAGGATGACAAAACCCGCCCACTGTCAGCTCATCAAGAATTTTGAAGGGAGAACATCTTACCTAGTCTTTTTTTAACCAGTGCGATAAATTTGCATGGTAGTTAAAGGTCAGACTGTATTTATTTTTAAAATCATGCTCCACTATATGGTATTTTATGGTAATACATAGGAGCTCTTGGTTTAGATATAGTAGGTGTTTAGCAAGAAAGGCTGCTAGATTAGATTGGGTTACAGAGTGGACTAATTATAATTATATATATATATTTTGTGTGTGTATATGTGTATATACATATATATATACACACACACATATACACACACAATTTTAGTACTAATGTTTTGAGACTTGAGAATTCCATAGGATCAAACCCATAACAAAAAAGGTAGGATGGGAGACATTATTGGGATTTTATTATTTATTTGTTTAATGGTTAGGTTGCCGGAGTTTTTTTGTTATTTTTCCCCAACTATTCTCTGAAAATCAGGAGCCTGTGTCCCTGGTGACATGTCCCTGGTGACCAGAAGAGAGTTCTAGAGCTCATTCATCAAACTGCCCTTCTACTTAAGTTACTTCACATATTTGGAGTACTTTGAAGATCATTAAAATGAAAATAAAATTAAAAATTGAATTTATTTTGAAATCAACAAAGAATTTTACTTTTTGTGACATTATTTGAAATACAAATTCTCTAAAAATTATTAAAAGGCAAGGAAAACCCAAGGGTTATTAACCAGAGTTTGAAAGATACAAAGATACTTTGTAATCTTCAAAAATAAATTGACATTCAAAAACTGCACATCCTGGGGCCAGCATATGGCATAGTGGTTACATCACTGGACTCTCACATGGCCAACCACAGTTGAAGTTCCAGATCCGGGGACTTGAAACTCAAGCTGGGCAGGTGTGCATGCACACCCAAGATGCCCAGAGAAGAATGGAGGAGAAGGGACTGCAGCATTGCCATTCTCTCAGGAGGGAAGTATTTCTCACTTTCCCTCTCACTGTCTCTGTCTCTCTCTCCTGAGAGTTCATGTGCTCTAAGGGAAAAAATCTCTTAAAAAAAGGTGCACATAGTGAGTATAGATAAACTAGGGAATATGTCGCTAAGAAAAAAAAATGGAAATTTCAGAGATGGAGGCTTTGTTTCATCATAAATGGATACATTCATATTTGTAGCCATACTAGGTATATAAGAATTCATGAGATACCATATATGTTTAACCTGACTGGCACGACACTGAATTCAATACGTACTTATTTTTTTCTCTTTCAACTCTAGAGAGATGTTAATGGAAGCAGTGGTAAAATTCTTAATGTCTTTAAAACATAGTCACTTTAAACATGAATAAGATCTTATAGTTCATTTGACTGACTAGCCGTTAAGTTCTTACATTTTAGATAAAAAAACATGAACTTTATGTAACTATGATATGATCTGATGGGCAAAACTTAAAAATCATACTCTTTTGGGGTGTACAACTCTAGACTTTAAAATATCTCCCTTCAATAAACTGAAAATATTTGACTACCTTCTGGCTTCTACTGGTGCTATTGAAAAGTGAACATTCTAATTCTTTGCAGAAAGTAGGTAAGTTTACTGGAGGATTAGAATCTGGTTGTTGAGCAAAGGAATGTTGGAAAGCAAAGTTTCGGAAATGGTACCAATTTTGGTAATGATAATGTCAAAAGTATACTTCTGAAAACGATGCTAACAGAAAACTGAATGAGTAGATCATTCACTATCCAAAAAGATGCTGTATCTTGTCCCAAGTAATGTTTGAGATAAAACTTTACAGAACCCCAATATTCTGAAAGGCGTTTTTTTTCCTATGAATTGAGGAGACATGGCCCACAAACCAGGTTCAGTATTATTTAAAGGCCTTACATCTATCTACTTCAAAAGTAACTTCCATTTTTAATCAGCTTTATTGGCAAACCAGAGCCAGCTAATCATAGATCCTTGTCAGGTGATTGACCTGATAGTTTATTGCCTATAAAGCTATGGTGTATGAGTGTAACAAAGCCATTTACTGTCCAGCAGCAATGGAAATAAAATCCAGCCCTGAAATATATTGCTTAGAAGCGTGGAGAAAATGCTGGCCTCACAAAAGTGTCAAGTACCACCTTAATATCTGACCCCAGACACTCTTCCTGAATCTCTTCTAATTCTTGATTATATGACCTTGTTGATTCTCCCATAACCACTCCCCAAATAAAGTTTCTTCAGTGTTTCTGCCTTGTACCTAATACTATGCACTTCGGGAAGGTGCATTATTCACTCATTGGCACTAAAGTATGCACAGTTTGTGAATTTTAATAGATCTTATGCCAAATGAATAAATCATTCTGCTATTTAAGAAATAAACCATTTTTAGCAGCAGGTCCTTTTGAAACCTCTAAAATAATATGATCAGTTCTCACCTCCTGTGTTAAATAAAGTTGACTAAGTGGTTGGAAGAAATTTGAAAATACATTTGTTCAAAATGCATGTGTATAATGTGTATGTATATTTTCATCTATATTGATAGAACATGTTTTATAGTGAGGAGAAAGAAATTAATAGGTATAAATTAGAGAAGTATAATGGCCACATTATGAAGTTTAATGTATTTTTTAAAACATAATAAAGATTGCAGTATGCTTTAGAAACTACTGAAAAAATAAAATGTAAAAATAAAATTTCTAGAAAGTCAACTGCACTTGTATTATGATTTAAAAAAAAAAGCAAAGTTTGGACAAGTAAATAATTAGAATGGTACCCTGGTTAGTGCTTTTGTTAACTGAGTTTACCTGAGGTAACTATTATTAACTATTATCCTTTTATTTTTTTTCTTCCTACTCAGTGTTGAAGAACCCAGTGTGTAAATTGTATAGATTTCCCACATCTGACAACAAATGGATGCGAATTCGGGAGCAGATGTCAGAAAGCATACTTTCTTTTCATATTCCTAAGGAATTGATTTCCCTTCACATAAAAGAAGATTTGTGTAGGTAAGAAGAAATAATTTACTGTTGTTTTCTCACATTAGTTTTTCTATGAAATGTTTTTTTCATAAGGTATGATGATATAAAAAATGCACACCGGTATCCACTAGGGTGGTCATTAACCCTACATGGTTACTGATCACCTGGTGTATGAATACTCTAAATCGAGATGCTCTGTAAGCATAAAGTTCACACCAAATCTTGAATCTTTTTTTGGTGCATATACACATACACACAAAAAATTATTTCATAATGAAATGTTAATAGTTTAGATATAACGAAGCTAAATACAGAATATTACTGAAGTTTATTTCATTTATTTTTTTCATTTTTAAATTATGGCTGCAAGACAATTTAAAATTCTATAGGTAATGGGGATTAAGAACTCAAACAATGAGATGTCTTCAAAAAGTTAACGAAAATGCATTTTATAAGAATTATGTATGCATTTTAAGATTTTTTGCACCAAAATAAGCATATACTTTAGTTCCATTTTTCTACAAGCATTTTGAAGTACCTTTGTGTATTACTGTGAGCAACTTGGTATCTAGCCAATAAACTGGGGTTTAACCTTATTTTTGACCTTGTTAATAATTCTTGGGTCTTTACCTCATGCGTACTTGTTTATCATTTTTTAAAGTAATTCCTCTCGACTCTTTTATGAGCTTATTTATAACAAGGCATTCAGATTTTTTACTTGTTCATCTAAAATGTATCCAAGATGATTGATAAATTATGCCTTGCTAATGAACAGTATTGTACAACAAAATTAAATCAGTTGTTATAATAAGACAGAGGATTGGAAAGCTTATTGGTTGATATAAATAACTGTAAACCATGACTATTCAAATTCTTTTTTTCTTATGTCTTGTGAATAAACTGCTAGTGACTTTAACAACGCTGTATATTGGGGTCAACTGGTGGCATAATGGTTAAGGCACGGGACTCCCACATTGCCAACCATGGTTTGAGTCCTGGACCTTGTGGCTTGAAAGTTACACCAGGCACATATGACTGCATGTTCAAAATCTCACAAGGAGAATGGAGGAGAAGGGATTGCAGCATGCCATCCCCACTAGGGGTGATTTCTTACTTTCTCTCTCAGTCTCTCTCCTGCAAGCACATGTGCCTTGTGGCAAAAATCTAAAAAAAAAAAAAAAAAAAAAAAAAAAAAAAAAAAAAAAAGAAGGAGAGAAATGTTGTGTGTTATCTGAAACTAAGCACATTAAGGTCTCAAAAATTGGCAGAGTATGAAATGTCCTGAACTTGGATTTTTGCCTCATGCTCACATTAGTACCCCTAGTTATTTAACAGAACTGTAACCCTTTGGTAGACTCTAACATCCCTGAGAATGCCTTTTTGACTAAGAAGATACCATGGACGATAAAATTGGTTAGGGAAGAAATAACTACACAAATACATATATCCAAGTGAGGAAAAAAGAAAGCAGGAAAAAAATTAGGGAAAATCAGACAGAAAACTGGATTATAAGAAAATAATCTGGATTTAGGGAAATAAAAATTGAAAGAGAAATAAGGAGATGGATATTGGAGGACAGCAGGAGGAGGAAAATCAGGTAATAGGTATGGACGCCAGCCACAAGGAAGGAGCTGTCATGTGTTCAGTAATCTACATAAGAGAAGGCCCCAAGGATGGCTCGTATAAACCAGATTATTGTGAAATGGGTTTTGAACATTATCCCTATGTCGTACTAGGACTATGAGTAGGCAGTGAGCGTAGGACTATGAGTAGGCAATGTGCATGATAAATTCCCAGGAAGGACACACGAGTTGATGTTTGGAGAAGAGGAATATGGAGTGTGGCTCTCTGCAGTCGTGAAAGAGTCAGTCTCAACCTGGGTGTATTGCAGACCACTGAACAGCCAAACAACTGCTCCCAGAGCCATGTGGAGAGGACCACTACATACCAAAGGGCTGGAGACTTAGCTGGCTTTTACAGGGATTATGGAATAAAGAAGGACTTTCAGTGGACAGACATGAGACTGGGGTGTAGGCAGGACCTAGGAACTTTATTCAGCTAGGAAAAAAAAAACAGAAAAGGAATTTCCAGAGGAAGCCAGAAGTTAGGACTAGGCTGAGTCCTATAAATGGCACCTGAGAAATTGCATCTAAGTTAGCCAGTCCTAGACGCCAACTAAAATAACTATAAAGACATCAGAAATGAAAAGTGATCATAATGTACAAAATACTGAGACTTATTGGTATAATACTATAATAAATATTATGTTTCTATATATTATTTTTAATATAATAACTAATGTTAGACAAACAAGTTGGGTTTGAAAATAAATGGACCATTAATGCTATTCCGAAATACAAGCTAGTAAAGAGGAGAGAGCCTTACTTCCAACCCAAACTGTTCTTTGTCACCAGCTTACAGACATCTTACAGGTTGAATGGCTATTCTTCTGTACTGTGGCAACTTTTGAGTTCTCTGCCATGCTATCTCCAAGCCCTGTCTGCACTGCCACTCCCATTATATAAGCTATCATAAAAAAATGTGAAAAAATAGAATTATGAGTTTATTTTGGTATAAAAATATTGAAATCAGAAGACTAGCAGTTGGTGTAATGGCTATGTGGCTGAACTCCCATTTAGTCGACTGCGGTTTGAGTCTCAGACCCGGTGGCTTAAACTCATGCCGGGTGCATGTGCGTGCATGCCCAAGATCCCGTGAGGAGAATGGAGAAGGGATTGCAGCATGGCTATTCCCCCTGGGGGGTGAGTTCTCACTTTCTGTCTCTCTGTCTTTATCTGTCTTTCTGGCAAGCACATGTACACTATAGCAAAAACCTTCCCTCTCCCCCCCAAAAAACTTCCCAAAATATTTGAAATCTATTCATGTTTTTCATAATATGAATTTCCCATGAACTTGTTGAAGACTCCTTCTGCCTATACAGCTATTGATAGAAAATTCTAATGGGAAATGAGTCAGAAATAAGGAAAAAGATTAATAAAGTACTGAATTTTGGTAGCCATAGTTATTGTGATTTGGTTTAACACTTTTTCTGTGTATGTGAAGAATATATTAAAACCTGCAACAAAGCAGCGTTAAAATTTATAGAAAAAAAGAAAAAAACAGTCATCCTGAAGACTCAAAAGGAAAATAGGACAAATTTTTAGGAACTCATCTCTACTGAGTGTAAGAAGATATCATGATTATCAAACAGAACCAGAAATCCACAAAGAACCGCCTAATGGTAAAAGGCCAAGAAGAAAAAGATGTGGAGGAAGTAAATGACATTTGAAAAAGCAGCAGCCAAATTAAATCCACAGAACCAGCAGAAAAGAGTTGACATTAAGAAATCATATTAGTAATGTGGATGACAAACATGACAAGCCCTTACCGGACAATAACTCAAGGTGGGGAAAGTTCAAAAGGAAAGAGAAAAAAAGTGTTAGATGTGCAGGTAGAGAACTCAAATCTACTAAATAATTTGTAGTGCTCTCAGGAAAGAACAATTCGTACAAAAGCTTTAAAGAAAACAATGGCTGAGTTTACAGATTTGTTTTTGACTTGACATCCTAAAATCAGACTAACTTTATATGTCTCTGTAAAATTAAATGTCAAAAGCCAATAGAACAATGTCCATTGATTTCGGAGAGGGAAAGACTGTGACCCGATACTGCTGTACAGGGTCAGGTTGTACATTTTTTATGAATGAAGGCAATGGAAATGACATGCTTAAATATGTAGGAGCTCAGAAAATGTCACCCACATAATTGTCTTGAAAAACCTACTGGAGATATATGCTATCTTCAAACTGAGGAAATAAATGAAGACTTATATTTAAAATATAGAAATTAAACATAAAATATAATATAGAAAATTAAGTGTATAAGAATGGGAAATTGCCCTGCCAAAGAAAGTTCCCTGAGTAACTTTATATTATGGTCATTTACATTGCTAAGGAAACTAAATTAGTATTTTCTAAACATTTAAGGTAAATGCTAATTGCAGCCATGAGGTGGCATGGTAGTTACGGTGCTGCCCCCACATGGCTGACTGCCATTAGAGTCCCAGATCTGGTGGCTTGCTTTCTAACTTTCCCTCTGGCTCTCTCTGGTGAGGGTCTGTGTCTTATAGCAAAGTAAGTAAGTAAATAAGTAAATAAATAAATAGATAAGTAAAATTAAAAATTCTCTTAAAAAGTATTAACTAAATTTTTGAATTATATTTTGGTAAGAGTAATAAGAAAATGAGCAGCAAATTTAAACTGTATCTAAATCCTTTTAATTTTCTGTTTTGTATAGAACTTTTCTGATCTAAATATATATCAAAAATATATATATCAAAAAATATATATCTATATAGATATCTATATATGTCTACCAATCTATCTCTATCTATCTATCTATAGAGATATCAAAGCTCATATACATGTCTTCAAAATATATACACATATACATACACACACACAATACACACACACGCATATATATATATATATATATACACATATATATATGAGCTCATACATATATATATGTGTGTGTATGTGTCTTCAAAAAGCTCATGAAAAGGTATGCATGGATATAAAATTTTTGTACCAAATACACTTGTACTTTAATTCTTTTTTTATAATGTTTTGAAGTCCTATCATACATATAAATACATACATTTTTCTTTAAAGTTAAATCAGTAATGATGTTATGAACTTGGTATGCCTTACATCAGGGGTCAGCAAAAACTTTTCTTGAAGAGCCAGTAAGTAAACCTTTTTGTGTTTGTATGGCATGTGGTCTGTTTCTACTACTTAGCACTGCCACTGTAATCCAAAAGTAGTCAGAGACAACATTTGAATGAAAAATTATAGCCATATGACAATAAAACTTTATTTACAAAAGCAAACCTTTCCTCTCGATTACCAAGGTATTGAATATTGCAAGTACAGTCATTGACTTCATAGAAGTCTGGAATTTGAAAATCCTGTGCTTTCATGATAAATGGACTTTAACTTTTGAAATTTATGTGATAATTTGTTT